TTGAATGCGTGAATACTACACGTATCCATAACAACTTAATGTATGGGTTAGAATAATAGGCAACAAAATAATTGATCCCCTTTTCATTGAGGAACACTTTGGCGTATTTAGATTCATTGGAAAATAGTATTATACCTGAGTTAGCTCGGTTATTTCCCAATCTCAGTAAGTATTTTCACGTCTAATGGATTAACTCCACAGTCAAAGGAAACCAACAGCACACACAGTAAGTATTTTTAATTACATTTTATTGTAAAAATTTCATTATTCTAAATTTTTAGACTTCAATATCCCAAACGACAATATTTGGCTGCAACAAGATGGTGTTCCACCTCACTATGCGCTTGTGGTGAGGCAATACATAAATAATCTGTTTCCCAGATGAATAAACATCATCATCATCTTTGGCTCGACAATCCTCTGTGGATCTTGGCCTGCTCTAAGATTCGTCGCCATTCTGTTCGGTTTCTGGCAACATGTTGCCATCTTCTGATTTTTAATATCCGTAAGTCGGTTTCAACTCCATCTATCCACCTAATTCGTGATCGGTCTTTGCTTCTTCTTCCTACAGGTGTTCCTGTGGTTAGCTTTTTAGCAATCGTATTTTCTGGCATTCGTATTATGTGTCCAGCCCATCTAAGTCGCTGTGTTTTAATGAACCTTATGATATCTGGCTCATCAAAGAGCTGATACAGTTCAAAATTATATCTTATGCGCCACTGCCCTTGGTCGTTTATAGCTCCAAATATTTTGCGGAGTATTTTATGCTTAAATATTCCCAAAAGTCTTTCATCTTTCTGCGTTAGAGTCCATGTTTCTGCTCCATATGTGAGGACCGGCCTCAGCAATGTTTTGTATATAATAATTTTAGTTGTTCTTTGAATGTTTCTTGATTCTTTTGGAGTCCATAGTATGCCCTATTTGTAAGATTTATTCGTCTTTTGATTTCTTCGCTTGTTTTATTGGTAGCAGTCAATAGCGACCCAAGGTATGTGAAGTTGTCAACACGTCCAGATGAATAAACATACCCTACTGTAAAATATACTATGCAAGCCATCATGACGAAACAGTGCATACCGGATCAGCAATTATCAAACCATTCCAACATTACGTCCTACAGTTTTACATACACTTTTTTTATAAAATGGTGTGAAAATTTTCCAAATATCGTACGGAGCCATATCCCCCCTTTTTTTTTCTGAAGACGTTGACCTTGTTTACAATTTATTTTAACGCTTCCACTGCAGATTTCCCCGTTCTAAATCCGAATTGTGTGTCTTCTTATCTATATTTACTAAAGCCTAATTTGTCTATGTACTTCTTAGGAAAATAATCTTAGTAGACTGTTGAATATTGACGTTATAATGTCTATGGTAGTCTATCTTGTGGTAGTTATTTAAACGCTTCCGGTGATATTTAATCTGTTTCTGGGGCTCTACCTAGTTTTATATTCTTGTCGGCGGTGTCTATTTCTTTCTGGTGAAACCTTCCGGTATGATATATATATGTTCTCGGGTTGGAAATTATTTACTGGTTTATAGATCTTTTCCGATTTCGCATGTTCTCTTTACACATATACAGTGTGGAAACCACTTATGGAATAAAATTGTTTGTGTCCTTATTATAAAAAATAATCAAAAACTCTGGGACACGTTAACTTTTAAATTTAAATGTGCGCTTTTTGAATATAAGTTTAAATGTACAGAGTGATCCACGCAAGCCTGGTATAGTTGACACCTAAAAAATATTTAAGCATGCTAAGAGACGATGTTCTTTCTTAGTTGGCTAACTTATATCCCAATCCAATAGATCCGACCCTACCGCATGAAACTGTTTTGTTCCAGCAGGACGGTGCAACACCCCATTATGCTTTAAAGGTGAGAAATTACTTTAATGAAATCTTCAATAAGTGGATTTGATGAAGGGGACTAGTGAACGGCCAGATCTTACTTTGGATTTTTTTGTGGGGTTATCTCAAGAACAAAGTATATGCAACACAATCAACTATCAATGAAGACCTCAAAAAGTAAGGATAACTACAGAAATACGGAATATTTCACCTCAAACTTTAAACAAAGTTCGGAACGAGTTTTTATATTAGACTATAATATTGTTGGCAATATGGTGTTATTGCCAACAACAAGCTGGAGAACATGATGAGCATTTATTTTAATGTAATCCAATCAATTACCTCGGGTATTCTATGAATTCATTGTCTTGAAGAAAATACCTAATTTCAAAATTTCACCTTGTATTATTCATAATAGACCCTACATGATATAGTTCGTTGAAATCAGTTTGTTAAGGAGCTTTTAAAAAACATGAAAATATACAGGGTGTTTCATTTAAAATACAGATTATGCACTATGCCAGACTTGCATTGATCACCCTGTCCATTCAAATTTATGTCTAAAAAGCGTACATTTAAATTTAAAAGTTAAGGTATCTCAACGTTTTTCATTATTTTCTACAATAAGCACACAAACAATTTTATTCTATAAGTGGTTTCCACACTTCTTGCCTCTTTTGTAGGCATCTTCCCGTATATCTTCTTTAAGTACGTCATAGATATTTTTTAAACAGCAGCGTTTTGCATTGTGGATCTTTATTTAGTTCTTTTTTCATTTCATTTTTTGATGAAACCGTCTGGATGGAAGGATGTGCAGAGGAAGGAGGTCCAGAAGGGCATCCATAGCTACCATTGGTATGCTCTGTGATTCAAAGAAAAGAAAGCCTTTGCACCTTGCTTAGTTTGAGGATGGTATCTTATAAGGATGTGCAGAGGAAGGAGGTCCAGAAGGGCATCCATAGCTACCATTGGTATGCTCTGTGATTCAAAGACAAGAAAGTCTTTGCACCTTGCTTAGTTTGAGGATGGTACTTCTTGGTTGCACCTTTAGCCACCATATCACTGATGCATATGCAATTGTTAGTTTTACTACCATGTTAAACGCGAGCTGGGAGAAAATTAAAAACAACATTGAAGAAGCAGCAACAGAAGCTCTAGGAAAACGCAAAGTCATACTGAACAAAAGAAACAACAACAGCACCATGGTTCAGAAAAAAAAAAAATAAAAGAGAAATGTAACGAGAAACGAGAGGCCTACACGAAGTACAAAACATCAAATACCCCAAAATCCCGAGACAACTATAGAAGAATACGAAATGAAACAAAGCAGTTGGTAAGAACAAAAAATGAACGCTAAGAACATTTTACAAAAAGGATGGAAAGCTACTTTTACGGTACACAAAAACAAATATGGAGATTTATAAGAAACCAACGGAAAGAAATGGCAGAACTGAAGGAATACAATAACATACCAGCAAGTGAATGGAAAAAAAACCTGACTGAATTGTAGGAAGCAAAGGAAAATAATAATCAACACCATAACGTACCTGAATTAAGACATGAAATAGAAATCAGTTTTCAGGAAGTAGAAATAGCCATAAATTCGCTCAAAAATAGAAAGTCACCAGGACCAGACGGAATAACCAACGAGCTTCCAAAATACGTAGGAGAAAGTATAACCCTAGAGATGACAAAACTTATACAAAAACTAATATTGCACTGCAAGATACCAGACGCATGGAGAAACAGCATAATGATACCAATATTCAAGAAAAGAGATAAAGAAGACCTCAACAATTATAGAGGTATAAATCTACTGAACACCGCACTTAAGCTTACCACAAAAGTCCTAACCAATAAAATCAATAAACTAACAACTTTATCAGATGAACAACAAGGATTCAAATCCGGAAGATCCTGCGTAACGTCGTATTTGTACTAAGACAAATCACAGAAAAGGCCATCGAGTACAATAAACCAGCATATCTATGTTTTATAGACCTGACAAAGGCAGCATCGATCGCATCCAAGTCGAAGACGTCTTACACCTACTGTATAAAAGAAACATACCAATCAATATTACACAAACCATCGAAAACATCTACCTCCATAATAGAATACAGGCAAAGATAAATGGAAAACTAACACAGTGTATACCACAAAGCGGAGTCAGACAGGGTGACTCGTTGAACCCACTTCTTTTTAATATAATAATGGACGAAATAATACAAGCAGTACGTAAAGGTCATGGCTACAGAATGGGGAACAAAGAAATCAAAATATTATGTTATGCAGACGACGCCTCATTAATCGCCGAAACAGAAGACGAGCTCCAAAGATTAACACATATCTTCAATACAACAGCCAAGAAATACAATATGATATCAGCAGAAAAACAGGCGGAGACAAGACCTGACACATTTAAAACCAGACGACTGCTAGTAACAACAAGATGAAAATACTCCGACGAATATCAGGGAGAAGTATGTTGGATAGGGAGAGAAGCAAAAACATAAGAGCATGCAATATAGAAGACATAAATGGATGGGTGACAAAACGAAAACAGGAGTGGAACGAACACATCAGTAGAATATCAGAGGATAGAATAGTACGAATAACACGAGATAAGTCACCAAATGGACGAAGAAGTATTGGCAGACCATGAAAAAGATGTTGTGACAATTTAAACAATTTATTAGGCTAATATTGAAGAAGAAACAGGCTTTAAATCCTACATACTACAAGGAAGAAGAAAGAAGACTACCATGTTATAAATTCAGTATAACGTATACACAGAGATATTTTACTTTACTCAGCAGGTTTAGATATGTACCATTTAAGCTCTAAATTCTCCCTTCTGACAAATTTCATGGTTTTGGACTTGAGAGCTTGGGTTAAGCCCTACATTTGAAGTGTATATATTTTTTATTTGCATTATATCTATGATTGTGCATTCAAATATTTTGGATGAATTTGTGCAATTTATCAGGCATCAAAATGTCTAGCTATTCATAGTACTTTCGATTTCGTTCAAAACTCACACACGAATATACGAATATGCCGATATTTATGTTTGGATTTACAATTAAAGGAGTGCGTCCTGTAGATGGTTCTAGCTGGTGTCCTTAAAATTTCGAAAATATACAAGATATCACAAATTTAACATATACATTTATTAAATAAATAACATATACAAAATATTACGAAGTTTTGCACTTTTTTGTGATAATTAGTCATAAGAAAATAGGTCTTCAATTGGTCTCTAAACTATATAATGATACAAAGGCGTAGTCTTGAGTTATTACCATTTTGTAGTTGATATCATTCTCCAGGAATCATTGTGGCCGTAGTCTTATCATGGACTATGTTTCTTTCAGGAGAAGTTTCATCGTTCTAAAATTACAAAAGAGTAGTATAGTGCATGCACAGGTATTATATGTATATAAAAAATTTTGTTATATTATATTTAATATTGACACTCGCTCGCATGCTACAAATAGTTCAAATATTTTAGAATGAATATAAGGGAGCGATAGACAGTTGGCAGATAGACAATTGCCTTTGAGAACGTCTTTCCACTTGCAGACTGAACACCAGGAAGAAATAATTTGAGACATTGACGGCCTACAAGTCTGAAATCAATGTATTATTACAAAACTCGCCCGCACTACTCTACCCTTCTTAATGTTAAACATTGTACAACCAATTAAATTTTAAAGCTCAAGAAGAATGGTGAAACCGCCAGTGTTGGCAAAAAATTCTACAAGAGATTATTTGTAGATATTCCGTTTTCAATGATGTTGTACTTATTATGTACAAAAAGTAACATAACTTGTTAAAACCTCGATGTCTGAGTTGTTAATAAAACATTTTTTGATGTGTTTTAAATTTTTTTTTAGCACTTCTCTCTATTCGGATTGCCGAATGTAGGCCTCTCCTAAATCTCGTCATTCATCTCTGTTGTTTGTAAGACTTTTCCACATTGGCCCTGCAGTTCTTAATATCGTCGCTCCAGCGCTTTCAAATGGATTAAGTTAACTATATAAAAATCAGCAGTAGTACACCCAGAATTAGTCTGAGGGGGGTTTTGAAATTTTTTTATGCTACCTCGATTTTAAGTCCCTAAAATTTGGGTTTTAGTTTAATTTAAATTACTAAAGATAGCAGTGCCACAGATTCAGGTATCTTTTATCCTGCCTACCAACTAAAACCACCCTCTCTTACTTGTGCGCAATTGACTGTCGCAAGTACCGTACTCCGAAAGTGGGGTGACCGCTGTAAGGCTGACGACAATTTTGGAACACTCCCCTCTCTTATCTATTGTTCTGAAGCTATTTTCTTGTGGCATTTTAAAGTAATTACTATTTTAATGGGAATAAACCACAATTGAAGGTTAAAATAAGTTTATTGACGTTTCACATTAATCAAATTTGTAAATACAATACATTTTGGAGACGGCTATTGCCGTATTCCCGTTCTCCTCCGTCAATCTTCCCGGTCCAAGGCATCCTCCTCCTCCTCCCAACCTCTCGATTCTATCGCTCTTCTAATTCCTTCATTCCATGAGCGTCAAGGTCTACTTTTTTCTTCTTCCAGGGGGCTTCATTTGTGAAGTTTTTGGGGCCAACGTAAGTCAGGAATTCTCAATAGGTGTCCAAACCATTTTGAACCTGTTCTTTCTATTCTGTCAATGACCGTTTCTGTAGCATTCATGTTATTTCTTATAGATTCGTTGGTCTTCCTTTCCTGAATTATGGTTCTAGCACTTCTCAAATAATCCATTTCAACTGCCAACGATCTTCTCTTCAGGTCTGCATTAATTGTCCAGACTTCAGAGTCATAACAAAGAAATGATTCAACCATGGTGTGCCCTATTCTTTTTTCGTTACTTTTGGAAATATTGCTATCCCACATCCTACAATTTTACGTCCCTGATTAATTCGGTATTTAATTTCGGTTTCTCCCAAACCGTTCTTAGCAATGAGTGCATCTAAATATTTAAATTTTTCCAGTTGTTTGATGTCCACGTCCTCGTCTATCAACTCTTCAAACCTTGCATCTGAATTGATAACTAAATATTCTGTTTTCTTCATGCTGACTTGTAACCCCCATTTTACATATTCTCTGTATAGACACTTTATCATAAATTCTAGATTATAAGAATCTTGAGCTAGGACGACTTGGTTATCTGTAAAGTTTAGAGAGAACAGTATGTCATTTCCTATGGGGATTCCCATTCCCCGGCAGTGGTTTTTCCTATTTTGGAGGGCTGTCTTAATAAATAAATTAAACAGTAAGGGTGACATACTGAATCCTTGTTTTAGTCCTTTAGTTACTTTTATTGGCTCTGATAGTTTATTTCCGATTTTTAGGTATATATATATATATATATATATATATATATATATATATATATATATATATAGTGTATATAGTCCCTGTATATTTCTGTTCCACTATTCTTTGTTCTATTAATTGTTAGGAGTACCTATAAACAAGTTATCACTGCAAGATCAAAGATTCAAACGTCATTAAAATTATGTTGGCCTTTGCAGCTTATTCCCATTAAAATAGTAATTAGATCTTATCTCTGTCGTTGACCTGGTTGATGTTTCTCTTCTTCTTTCTTTTTAATAACTGCTCGGATGTAATTGTGAACACTATTCCATCCCTCCGTACTTTCCGTCATCTTCACATCACCTCTCTTACAGTCACAGTGTTCATACCTATTTCTTTATACATTCTGTTTCTCTCCACTGTGCATCTATAAGGCGCTGATTTCTCTGAACACACGTCAGCGGCGACGGACAACGGCTGCCGTCAACGTTTGAATGCAACGACTAAAAGTGTATGCACTTGGTTTCTCAGACACGCCAGCAGTCACGGCTAGCTTTGACGGTTGGCGTTTACCCGCTGCGTGTGTCCGTTCATATGATTTCGAAGCATTGCAGCGGGTGGGCGTTATGACGGACGAAAGCAAAATGAAAAAAGAATAAGATGAAATACATACAAATAATGTAATAAATAATTTAAACATAATTTGTAATTATATCAATTATACATCGTGAGACTGCTTAGTAACCCTTCCAGATGGCGAACACAAGTAATCTTTTAATTTGATCAGTATTTTGGAAAAGAGGCAGCAAGAGAATGATCAGTTGTTTGAAAAAATTTTAACACTGACAGAAACTGTACCAGAAAAATCTGCTATTCTTAAATTTTTCGAGTCCATGGCTGATACTGTTTCAAACTTTACACCACATCTTATTGCTGAAACTAGGTTACAAGTTTGTAAAATAATAACAGAGATGGAACTGAAAATTCATAACGAACAGTGGCTGTTTTTGTGACAGTCGAAAATATTGTATGAATTTTTCATTATCACATTTAAGATGCGTATGAATTAAGTTACTAAATGTCCTTTCATTCTTTCAATTTTTAAATATATTGTGAGTCTGTATTCTTTTCTTTAAATTTCTAATTATTAGTTCAATATTTTATTAGTCTAATTATTAGTTTCATGATCAATTTCATTATTTATAAAGTTCTTTGTATTTTTAATCTAACCTAATAATCGACGTCTATACCTATTGATATCTACCAGCAAACTGACTAATTTTAGAGAAACCATTAAACCGACACTCCAGCATTGTGTGAGTAACAATGTCGAAATATTCGCAGACAGACAATCCACCCAGTCCCTTAGGCTCGGGATCAGAATCTTGGTCCACTGGGCAATATCTTCCTTGTTGTTCCACTCTTCTTGCCATTAATCTTTCCTTCTTCTTTTTTTATGGCTGTTTATTATCATTATAAATATAATATATTGTTTTAAATTATTTATTATAAATAATTTAAATAGTACTAAAAAATCTAAATGCGATATCGGCAATCCTGATCGTATTTGATCCTATTATATTTTTTAATCATTCTTATATTCAATACGTGTAGTATTATCTACATATATAATTCACAAGCTCGCGTATACTGGAAGAAATGAAAGCACGACTTTATTTTTAAGTTAGATCGAGAAACTCAACCTTGTTTTAAATACCCCTGTGTGAGAAGTGAGGCATGAACAAAGCAATCAAAATAAAATTTGTTAATAAATCGGTCAAATATGACACTAGATTTTATGTTTTGTGTCTTTCGCTCTTAATTATTGGTAAGTCTTGATAAATGCGACCAAATATCTTTCGAATAGTATCATGAGGATTCTGTATCTATAGAGTAGGGAGGGCTAGTTAAGTCCCAAGGCACTTGCACCACAATTGACCCGTTGTGCATCCTCCCAGGAGCTGTCGTCCTTAGTTCACTGTCCAGCGTCACGATTCATAGACTTACCAATGAACATTAAGCCCGCGAATGAGCCACGAGAGTACAGTAATTTGAATCGTAAAATGGTTAATTGGAGTTTTTATGTCTTCGATGTATGGAAAATAGTAGAGATAGTTAAGAAATAAAGATGTTTAGTGGATTATAATACCTAATTACGGAAAACTGTTGATATGTGGGTAGTTTCATAGTTAAAATTAATCAGAAAAGAAATCTAGGAATTCAATCTTCCTTCTACACTGAAAATTTGTCGCGTATACTGAATTTCTATCAATACTGGATTAACTATTGAATGACTTACCGGCCCTTAGAGGTCAGCTAGGAATATGCGAATTAGAATTACTTGCATAATTTAATGTAAGAATTTAAATATTAAGTAATAAATTTTAATCGGTAAAAAACGTAACTAGTTTATTGTATTTCCAATAGATATAAATATATACTACATAATTTTTTTTAAATATTTTTCCTTGACTGATCATTAATGTCTTCATCTTGTTTTCTTTTGGCACTGGTAACCTGGCTTTTGAAGCATTTATTAAAATACTTGATCCGCATGAATATCTTTGCCTGCAGTGTTTTTAGTCGGCAAAGGGGTATATCCGAACAATGACTGGAAAAATACTCTGCAGTTTAATAATTAAAAAATATTGTACATATTTCTTTTGCAAGTCAGTAAATAACCACTGGATAGATTTAGGGGATATTATAATGCCCCTTTGGAAAATTTGTATGTATTTTTTTCCAATGCACACCATTTTTGTAACATTATCAATTACTAGAGCCAATAACCTATTTTGTTCTTCCAAAAGTCCATTTCATAAGGTCCTTTAAATGTAGATGTAGCAAATGTAAAGGAATTCATTAAATCAAAATAAACTATTAATAAGCTCTATAAACTCCTTAAGTTTTTGAGCTGCGATTTTTTTATCTCTGGCTGCATTTTAAAAATAATGTTTTAAGGCTGTTGCAGTTGTGTGAGATAGTAATTATGCAGCAAGTACAACGTTTTGTCCATCTCTTCTTTCTCTCAATTATCTGAAGTCAACTTATATATG